AGTACTAGTGGAGGACGTCTGCTCAAGACCCACATTTCAAGTCTTGTATGCTACCAAATCAGCTATTAATGTCATCTAGCCCAATTGTCCTAACTGGACTTCACCACAACAAGAAAAGGAAGGAAACTCTTCCGCTTGGGGATTAAGGTGACTTGGGGAAGCCTCCGGGTCTTAGTTTCTACCTTTTTCTCGTTATGTCTAGTGTTTTCAGCCTGTGGTGGCCTTTTGTAACTCTTTGGCTTCAGCCCTGGTTATGTTTTTCTCCAGTTTTTTTTTTTTTTTTTTTTTTTGGGAACTCAAAGCTAGCTACTGGGATAGGAACTAGACTTGTAAATGGGTCTAGTTTATGGGTGCATTTTTGCTCACCCACACTAACTATAGGGTATGCTCACCACCCATTCCAATGTTTGCCATGTGTAATCCACACTAACTCTAGTTAAGCCTTTTTTTTTTTTTTTTGATTTAATTAATAGAAAAGAGAATCCTACTTTTACCTATTTACTTCTATATATATCATTTCTTTTTAAATATTTTTTTTAAAACTTAAAACTTACCTTTTTGAATACAAACATAGGGTTCGGCTCTAAGTGATGAACCGACATAACCGAAGCTGTTAAAGCTTAAAGCTTTATCTACTTCATGATCTCTCCCTATTATGAAAACCCTAATTCTAGCCCTACCCCACAATTGCTAACCGTGTAATTCTAATAAAGACGTCGAATAGGAAAAAAATACAAACAGACTCAACCCTGTGCACGCATCTTCTGGGTTTTCCATTTGCTATTTTTGTCCGACTAGAAAAAGGTATGAACCTCCCACATTTATTTTCTTTTTAGGATTATTATAGGATGTCAATATATATGGTTTTCTTAGGATTATTATAGGGTGTTAAAATATATGCTTTTTATGATTATTATAGGGTGTCAATATATATGCTTTTTAGGGTTATTATAAGGTGTCAATTTAATCCAATATTAAGTAATTTGATACTTATACAGATGGAACACCAAGATGAAGAGTTTCATACTCCATCTTATAGTGATGCCAAAGGATCAGTTGATTGTATACACTTATAGATTCAGATTCTGAAACCTTTGAAGTCTTGGATCAAAATGAAGAAAAAGGAGAATTTACAAGCAAAGTTGGTGATATTTCGCTGGGGATGACTTTCGTTAATGAGGATGATGCATATAATTACTACAATGCATATGGTAGAAGGGTTGGATTTAGCATGAGAAAGAACAGAGAGAATAAAGACAAGTCAGGTGTGCTAAAGAAAAAATTTTTTGTTGTTCTTGTGAAGGTTTTTATATATAAAAAAGAACTCCAAAGAAGAAAAAAGAAGAAACAAGATGTGGCTGCAAGGCAATGCTTGAAATCAAACTTAATTTAGAAAGGAAGTTTGTTGTGACAAATTTTGTTGCTGAACATAGTCATGTTCTTGTTCCAGCATCAAGTTCCCATTTATTGAGGTCACAACGATTAATAGAGCCTTCTTAAGCAAAATTGATAGATCAAATGCATTATGCAAGACTACAAGCCATCTCAAATCTTCTCATACTTTACACAGAAGCAGGAACAGTCTCAGAAAAACTTTATTCAGTCTGATTGTAAAAATTTGATAATGAGAAAATTGGGGTTCTTAGAAAAAGGCGACTTTAATTTCTCATATTCTTTCTTGAAGAAAAAAGGAAATGAAATATGTGGTTTTTTTTTCATGAATTTGGTGATTTGTTTTAATTAAAGGAAGGTCAATTCAGAAACTGGTTTTAAACTTAATATTCAGTCAAATTCTTTTGATGTGTTTGTTGATGGAGACAAAATGTGAGTGGCTATTTGAGCATGGATGAGAAAGCATGCATTAAGGCCATCAATTGGTTCTTAGAAAAAGGGCGACTTAGAATGTTTGTTTTGAATCAATTTTAAGTGCAAAATGAAGACATTTTTCTAATTTTCTAATTCTCTTCGAACGATTTTGTGAATATGTTATTATCAGTTTCTGTGAGGAATTGAAGGCGCGATTTTACTATATTTGGTGATGTTGTGTGTTTTAATACAATTACGACATGGTTTCAAAAGAATAGATATAATATGGTGTGTGAAGACTTTTCGGATTTGGTTTGAGATCAAGTGATGCTATTTAAGGCCTTTTTCATGGATGGTTATTTTGTTGTGCAAATATTATTTTCTTGAATTGAAATGCTGCGAGAATTTGTTTTGAGTTTAAATCATGTTAGAATTTGATCATAATCTTTTGTGTTGTTGGAATGAATTGATGGAGAGGAAATGATTGGTTTTTATTCACGTGAGAATTTGGCACAAGTTTATGGTCGAGATCACTTTTGTGCAGGTATTACTCTTGACCAATTCCTATTATATTTTTTGGTACATATTATTCACAAGTTTCTTTTTCCACTATACTGCGATCAATTTCCATTTTTTTTCCTTAGGTATGACAACAACACAAAGAATTGAAAGCATGAACAAGTTTTTGAAAAAG